GAATCTAGTCTGGTCCTCACTGAAAAATGGACAGGGGACAAAGGGTTTAAAAACAGGACAGTCCAGTTTAAAACAGGACCAATGGCCACCCTAGTATGTAATCTGGTATCTGTAGGTTTTACCAGCACAAAGCTCTGAAAACAAGGAAATTAAATATTAGTGTTGTAATGTGCAACACCACATATGCACACACACCCACAATCCCAAACACTGTCATGTATGCAGATATTCTAGAAGTTTCCTAATAATTTTAGTGCTAGAGTCATACTTGCCTTCTGTGCAAAATCATGAAGAAATCTTATACCTGTTCTCTAGGCATCTTATCTCACTATATGAGATATGTATCTTTACCACATCTTGTCATATCAAATCTGAAAATACTCTCTGTTCAGCCAGATTCCCTGATATCATTCTTTTATTTCAAACCTGGGAATTTTGTAGCCATTTTAAGACTTTTATTATGTAAATGTAGTAGGGTTAGGCTGTTGTTGTAATGTTGGTCTAGATCGATTTAGAGAAAAAATTGGTAAAGATCCTGTTAAGATGTGTGTTTAGCCAGAGGCTGTTTGAACGCTGAGGATACAAGAGCACTTGGTGTCCTTCTCTTTAGTTTTTGACATTTTCCTGGTTGTTCATATGAGCCTCGCTGGTAAACTGATAGGGGTGTAAGTATACACCTATGATACATTTATCATCTCCTAGTTTCTCCTTTTGATCTAAGCATGCAACTGGAAAGTGGTAAGTGAATCTCGCACCAAAGAGAGAATGTCATTCATTTTTCCACTGAACTATGGGACAGGACAGGAAGAAAAGGCAGGGGTGTGGCGCTCTACATTAAGGAGGAATACACATCCTCATCAGGTAGCACAGAGTCAGAGGAGGGGCACACGGAAGTGCTCTGGGTTAGAATACAAGGCAGTCAAGGGGAAAGAGACTTAATGGTGGGGGTCTACTACAGACCACCCAACCAAGGGGAAGAGCTCAACCAGGAATTCTTAAGTCAGCTCACGGAGGTAGTTAGGTCAAAGGACGTGGTCATCATGGGTGACCTGAACTTTCCAGACATCTGCTGGGAAGAGCAGTCAGCCAGGTCTGACTGCTCACGTAGGTTCCTAGCCCTAATGCAGGAACTCCATCTAACCCAGGAGGTGCACAGCCCCACCAGGGGAGATGCCTTGTTGGACCTGGTGCTGGCCACGGATGACAACCTGGTGAGGGGGCTGTGGGTGCTCGACCACCTGGGCGAAAGTGATCATCGCCTGCTGGAATTCACCATCCAGCGCAAGGTGGCAAAGGCGTGCAGCAAGACAGCAGCCCTAGATTTCAGGAGGGTGGACTTCAATGAGCTAAGGAGAATAGTCAGGGAAGCACTGAGGTCCCGGAGGGGAGGGGAGCCAGGTGTCCAGGAAGAGTGGTTGGGCAGGGGGGGAATGGGGCTTGTTCCCCAACAGGGAAGGGCAGGTGGCTTGGCCCCATAGGGAGAAAGGGGACATACCCAGCTTCAACCTGGCCCCACAGGGGGGAAAGGGGCATGGCCTGGCCCCAACCTATCCCCAGGTGGGGGGAAGAAGGAGTGGCTCAGCCCTGTGGGGGGGTAAGGGGGCATGGCTCAGCCCCAAGCTGGCCCTGTGAACGGGAAAGGGGTGTGGCCCAGCCTCAACCTAGATGTGTTGGGGGAAGGGATGTGGCCTAGACGCACAGGGAAAAAGGAGTATCACCCAGCTCTGACCAACCATGCGGGGCTTCGGGTTTGGGAATTTGGCTGGGTGGAAGCTGGCTATATTAATGGCCACTGTTCCCTCATCACCAAATTTCCCAAACTGTGAGTAACCCTGAAAGACAGATGTAATGGCTCCACAGGCCAGAGGTTGAGCACCCCTGATCTGCGTGGGTCCCAATAATGGTTTTTCTAAAACAATTTAGTAATGTTTGCTTCAAGAATTGGTCATCTTTGCCACTTAGTTTCAGCCCCATGCCAGGGTCCAAGCATTACTGCTGCTCTACCCTCTTATGACTAGCCTCTTATTTACCCCGAGTCTTAATTTTGTCTCTGTCATACGGCAAATGAAAAACAACTCTCTCGAAACTAACTGCATGTTAAGCTTTCAGATAATCCACCCAGTTTCACAGCCCTTTTTACCATCCACCATTCAAACGTTTCTTAAAACTTTTTGCTTCTATATCTATACAGTATATAAAAGGAAACACTCTTTTATTATGCACTAGTATTTTCATAGAGCACAGGTCATTCTACTAAAGAATCGCCACTCATCACATTTATCTTTCTCTATAGGGATAATATTTTGTTATCAGTGACTGAGAGTTGAAAACATAGTAGCAATAGGAAAAACTAAAACATTATATTGAATAAATATTATATACAAAATATTAAATATCAATGTAATCCTACCAATTTATACAAAATCTGGAATCAGGTTTAAAAAAAACAAAAAGCAAACAAAGAACACATCATCTGTGCCAGGTGACCGCATAATATAAAGTCTATTCTTTTGATGCCTTTAAAATTCACGTAATTTCTGCCCATTTAATAGTGCAAAATCACTACAGTCATTTTAAAAATAGTCCACTACCCCTTTCCCAAACTGTTATCCATTTAAAATAGAGAGGCTTGTATTTATCTTTAATATTAAAGCTAAGAGTTAGTTTCAGATGCATTGTCATCCTTATTCTTTCTCATAAATACCATTAGGATTAGGGCAGAAATTATTCTGAGACAAGCAGAATAATGAAATATGATTTCTCACTAGAAAAGCCTATGACTAATTTGGGGTGTGAGGACCTGAAGATACTGCTTTGATTTCATGGGATGGACAATTAAAAGCCTTGTGATTAATTCTGAACTGTTCTTCCTTGAAATATGTATTATATTTCCATTCCTATTCAACAGCTATTTATGCTGTCAAAATTAGTTGTATTTTATTTACACACTTTTCTTCAGTTCATGATCTTATGCAGCAGTAGGGTAAAGTTTTACTGATTTTTGTCTATTTCACTACTTGTTATATGTATTCATAAGCAGCTTCATATAGAGGTGAACTAGGTACCTAACTAGCATGCTTTGCTTTTAGGCCAGTGGTTCGCAACCATTTAGGCTTAAGGTTGTCCTTGTTAGACTCAAGTCACAGCTCAGAAAATGCTGGTTCTTACCTTTCACTTTTTTTGACTATGGAAAAATAATAGAGCCATTCTTCTGTTTCAAAAACCTCAGAAAAGCCAAACAAAATCAGAATATTTTTAACACTGAATTCTTATTTGAATTTTCTGGGTTTATCTTGTGAATCATATTTGCACACCTATGTTAACATGATATGGCACCTGTATCACTCCAGAATCACTGTTTTAAGTCTTCAGGGAGACTAGCAAAAGTAAAACTACCTAGGACTCAAGTGGCTAAAAGTTAAGTAAGTACCAAATGAGGAGTTTGACAGAGAGGTTTTAAAGGCAGGGAGAATACAATACACATATAGAAGCAAAGCAAAGTAAAGCAAGCAAGAAAGCAATCAAGAAAGTAGGAAGGAAAGCAGAAAAGAAGGCAGTCAGGAAAGGGAAAGCCAAGAAAGATGAAACACTAAGTTCACAATATTTCATTTTATATTCATGCATTTCTGCTTTCACCTAGCAAAGCCAACACTCATTTTGAGCTATCAATCATTTCTGCAAGTTGTGACATGCAGTTTCTCATCCTATGCTCTCCATTTCTAGTCCCCCTATTTTTGTGTTTCTCAGGAGAGAGAGATCACTTCCATGACCTTTCACTATTAGACACACCACACAAACACTCCATGATGCTGATGCAACTTCATAATATTTGGGATTCATGAAAATGAATCTATATATATAAAATGTTAAATTATCTTTTAGAACTATTGTTCTTTGAGGTGTACTGCACACATTTATTTCACTTTGAGTGTGTCTCCAGTGCACAAGAGCTAAAGAGCTTTCCATAGAACAGGGGTGGGAAAAATACAGCCCATGGGCCAGATCTGGCCCACCAAGCCATTTCATCCAGTCTGTGGGGCCCCAAAAATTTAGAAAATTAATATTTCTGTCCTTCCCTGTGTAGAGGAAAGAGGCCCTTCCCCGCCCTGTGGCCAATGCTCTCTGCTGCAGCTGCTCACAGCCCATGTGGGGCTGTCCAGAGCAGGCACACACAGCTCCAGGTGGGCTGCAAGTGGCTGACACGTGGGGCGCCGGCCACAGGGCGGGTGAGAAGCCGCTTTCTCCCCCCCTGCACTCAGCACCACCTTGTAACCCTGCCCCACTACCAGCCTGGGTCCCACGTGGCTCCGGGTTTGCCTGTTGGGGCTGCACATTGTGACAGCAGCTGCGGCCCCCCCACTTGCCATGCTGGGCAGTGTTTGCCACTGCCGCCTCTAGGTTGCCCAGCGCACAAGCTCCAGGTGGGCAGCAGCAGCCAACACTGCCTGACGCGGCACGTCAGGGGTCCGCAGCTGCTGCCACTGCCTGCAGCCCCAACAGGCAAGCCTGGAGCCAGCACAGAGCCCAGGCTGGCAGCAGGGCTGGATTACAAGCTGGTGCTGAGCACGGGGAAAAGTGGCCCCTCACTCACCCCGTAGACAGTGCCCCATGCTGCAGCCGCTTGAAGCCCATGTGGGGCTGCCTGTGCCTGCTCAGGGCAGCCCTGCATGGGCTGCAAGCACCTGCATCAGGGACCGCCAACCACGGGGTGGGTGAGGGGCAACTTTTCCCCATGGTCAGCACCAGCTTCTTCCCCACCAGCGAGCAAGGGGTCGGGGGTATGTGCTGCCCCCCGCCTGTACCATGGGGCTGGGGGGCACTGGGAGTGAGTGGGCAGGGAGCCAGTGGGAGCACGGGGCCCGCACCCGTGTGGCAGGGCCAGTGCCAGTGGGGCCCAGAGCAGGGTGGCAGAAGCGCAGGGTCCCAGCTGGCAGGGGCTCTATAGAACCAGGCCAGCTCCCCGCTTTCCCTGCTGGTACAGCCCAGCCTGGCTCCACAGACTCCTGCCAGCCTGTGCCCTGCTTTGGGCCCCACAGGTGCTGGCCCTGGGACATGAGACAAATGTCCCAATGTCTCGGGACCAAAGACATTGGGAAATTGGTCCCAAGATGGTGACCAGGGGGTACAGCACCTGTCAAGGGGCGGGGCTACTTATGTGGCCCTTGACAGCCTGCCAAAACTGGGTAAGCGGCCCTCTGCCTGAAATAATTGCCCACCCCTGGCATAGAAGTACCCATAGAGGGTGCAGCATGTGTCCTTCACTTCCACTGTCTGTAAGGGACAGAGTTGCCCCAAGACTCCCTTAGTTTTGTATGAAACTTAATTTTGAAGCAGAGAAGAAGGAGGCTAGATCACAAAATGGATACATATAACATTTCCCAGAACACTTGCAGAAGGTAAGTAACCATTTTTTCTTCTTCTAGTGATTACACACCTTTCCTCCATGTTGTGTATTTCCTAATCAGTATCTAAAAATGCTGGGCTCACACACTATCTGCAGAGTCTGCAAACATAATTTTAAAGTTGGCATCACTCCTAAAAATGGTGATGATAGTGTATTGCTTTGAGAAAGTATGAATGGTAGGTGTTCTACAAATACCTAAAGCTAAATTGCTCAAGAAAGGCACCAAAGTACCGTGGTCTCTAGCAAAGTGAGTGGGCTATCTGCTACACAGAGGTATATTCACTTTGTAGCAGAACACTATAAAGGAAAGCAAAAACTCATTTTTTGAATCTTGGAGCTGAGACTTGTTGGCTTATCATTTTCTCAGCCTTTGAAATGAGCAGATGCAAGTAAAACCCTCAAAAATGTTGTGGTGGCTAGATAAATATAGAGGGCTTGACAAATATCAGCGTATGGAGCCTCTCTTCATCCCTGTAAGTGTGGCACTTACAGAAGGAGATAGGGAGATAAAGAGCCTAGGCAAAAGCCCAAGAAATTTTGCCAAGAATTTTGGGTCTGATCTCAGGGAGGCCCTGTCTATGTAAGATGTTATATACATGGGAATATAAAAGAACCCACTATCCTTACATATGTACTGGTCATAAAAAAGTCATAGAAAAGCAACTTTCCCTATAAGGATATGAACCTGCAGACACATATGTGTCTAACCTGCAAAGCCTGAACTGATTTGGAGGTGGATAGACATTCCCTTTTTATTCCAGAAATGCAGGCACATGCCTGTAGTGGCTCAGGCTAGAAGCTGGGGGGGAACTAGAACAGCCTTCCCTTCACTTCTACAGAGTTGAGCTGAGCGGGGCATGGCCAGGCCTTGGTAGATGCTCTTATTATTCCTTTCCCTCCTGAGCTGCCCAGCAGGGAATGTTTACCACCCCTAACTCAGGCTTTTTTTTTTTTTATTTGTTGATAAACACTCTCTCCATTAGCTAATGAAGCTCTTCTTAAACAGCTCTTCTAAGGAAGGAAATTAAACTACCTGTTGATTAGCTCCAAAAAACCTGTCTTCTTTTGTCATCTCCTACAGCACAGACCATAGCCAGTATATGCTCTGCTAGCTAGTGCTGAGGTGTCTGCATAAGGCAGAGGGGCAGGAGGAATAATCCCTGCTTAGCAGGGAGAAGCCAGGCAGATACTCTGTGTCTGCAAGTCTCTGCTGGACCTGCAGCCAGGGAGCAGAGGGGAGGGGCCAACTCTGCTCTGGAGCAGAGAGCCTCACCCAGCCCAGACAGCATGCTGGGATGCAGGGGAAGTCTGGTTTATCTTAAACCAGCAAGGAGTCTGGGACAGATATTGCATAAACTGGATTCATAGATTCATAGATTAAGGGTCGGAAGGGACCTAGTAGATCTTCTAGCCCGACCCCCCGCCAGGGCGGGAGAACAACAAAAAACCCCAAATCAGTTCAGTCTGATAACACATTTAACCAGGTTTATCTCAAATCAGTTTCAGCCATTTTCAAATTGGTTTATGTGCACTGAAAACATGTTCTGTTACAGGTTTAAACCAGGTTCTGATCACTTAAACCAGTTTGTGTGTAATGTCTGTCCTTAGGCCCAGTGCCCAAACACTTCCTCTTCTTCCCTTTGGGCTTATATAGAGGAAGTGTGGAGTCATGAAAAAGGGGCATGTCATGAGATGCAGGGAAAAATTTTACAAGAGGTCAGTTAATTAGAATCCAAAGAAGTAAGCACTGGTTTTACAGAGTACTATGTCAAGTCTGAAAATCCAGAAAGAAGGAAAAGTTACTACTAGCCAGAGTACTAACTTTTCCAGATTTATGGAACTGAAGAGACAAATCTATTTAGTGGCAGCAGTCCTTAAGAATAAAAAGGCAAGGACAGATATTTCAAATTTAAAAGCAGATAAATCCTCAGCTAAGATATATATATGGAATTTTTTTAAAGGAAATAAAATACTGGTAATTTCAAGATATGTTTTTGGACCCACTAGTAGATATTTACACTGCTCATTCATTTTTTCACATTGTAAAACAGATCATGCAGTCTACTCCTACTCCCATATAGTTTAAAAATATTGGCTACCTTAAAAAACCACTTATCTAGATTCAAAGATATGAGACATGAATTCTATATAACAGACAATTAGAACTTGCCTACATTACCATATAAAAAAAGGATTTATGCAAAATATTAACATGAGTTGCTGAAAAAGCCTTGCAGTTAGCTGAAATTCTTTGCCTTCATACATCATATATTGTTTAATACAGTGGCTCTCTACCTTTTCAGACTTGAGGCACCACTCAGTAGACGCAAAGCACCCCTTGATAGATTCAAGGCACACCCCAGAAAATGCCAGCAACTAATTTTCACTTGTTTTTTAACTACAGAAAAATAGCACTGTTAGATGTACAAGCATAATTCACAAGAAAAACTCATAAGTTTCAAATGGGGATCCATAGTGTTAAAAACATTCTCACCTGCTGTGGTCTTTATGAGTTCTTTGCAACCGAAGAATTGCAAAGAACTCAAAAAGACCACAACAAGTCAGAATGTTTTTAACACTAGGGATTCCTATTTGAAATCTCTGGGCATATCCACACAAGCATGCACATGCCTGTTGTGGCACCTCAAAGCAGTTTGAGACATCACAAGAGGCACACTAGGAAGAAAGAAATGTTCCCCACACTGCATATTTGCAGTGCGGGCTCTAAATTAGATACTGGGAAAACCTGGTATCAAAAAAAAAACACACCAGAAAAAAGTGGTGTAAGGCACACTCCTGAAGCATGCCTTAAAGCAACTGGAGGCTGGGTCCTCAACAGAGATGCTCTGGCACCCAGCCAGAGCATGTCTATGGCTGCCCTTTGTCCCTCCTGCCAAGCATGCTGCCTCAGTGTGCTGAGACAAGCAGGAGCAGGGCAAGGCTGCAGCGGTGGATAGACCCAGGTGCTGTCCCAGGTAAGTAGGGACATGGGGGTGGGGGGACTGTGTGAGGAGATAGTGTGGGGGTAGAGGCACTGTGGGGGTGGCAGAGACTGCTCGGGAGGGGTGGGTCTCCCCCGCCCCCCTCCACAT